ACCTTCCCGAAAATAAGGCCAAGAGTTTATTTCAGGGTCAAAAGAAAATAAGACCCTGTCTTATTTTCAGGGAAACACGGTAGCACCCACCAATATTTCAAGAATGAAATATTTTGAGAAATGTTAAAAAGGCAGGATATTATATTTCTCTGGATGAGACGTTTTTAGAGGGAGAAAGTAGCCCACACCCTTCCTTAATGCTCACAGCAGATGTCAGCACTAGAGAGATAGCTCTATTCATAGGCAAAGTAAATATTGCAGGCAGAAATCCATTCAAGGCAGGGTATTTTGAAATTCCCTACTGCAAGATCTGAATAAAGGTAGGATTAGCCCTCAGCCACAATAGGAATTGCCCGACAAGCCCCTTCATTGCATCACCCTCAGAAACTTCAACCAAACTTAACTCAGACAAACACTTAGGACAGCGATACCTAGCCTTTTTGGCGCCAAGCGCCAAAATCGTGCACGTGCGTGCACACCCATAATGCAATGCACGCCAACCCCCCACACCCCACGCTCCCATGCATGCATGCATGACCCGCCTCCCACACATGCGTGGCAGAGACCCAAAAACCTGCTGGCCAGCGAGAGGCGCATGTACATGTGTAGTGAAGCTGAGCTGGGGTGATGGCTCACATGCTCATAGAGAGGGCTCTAGGTTCACCATCATGGACCTGAAGCTGCACTAGAAGCACCCATGTGGTTCTGCATCATCACTAAACCATCTTTCCAATCAGTCCCCAGCTTCCATTTTGTCTCCAGTGCCTTTCTCCCGGCTTGCAACTGAAGCAGATGGATATTTCTTCCCACATTAGGAATATATATATATATTATATTTGCTCTGGAGAGCTCTGTGCTCAGCAGACAATCAAGCAAGCTTTTGCAGATTTCTGAAAGACCTTGTGCCTTTCACAAGACAAAAGCCCCTGTTTTAAGCTAGGCAAGAGGCCACAGATAGCCCAGATCTTCTCTATGGCTGACAAAATGCAAATGGATTCCACTTTAGAAAAAAGATTCAGCCGCAATGATCCAAACCCAGGATCAATGTCCAATCCAAAATCTTGGGAAAGAGCACGGCTCCTTTGAAATGTTGGGTTGCTGCATTGCTACATCTGCCATCAAAGCTCTCCTGCACGTAGACAGCATAAAAACACCAGATTTTAATGCTCCTTGAATAGGAGCATTTCTAAGCTGCTGTCTGATGAATCCTTCAAGGCTAGCCATTCTTCTAACCTGCCATGTATGTTTAACTTTAAAAAAAGCAAGAAAAACAATTCCACAATTACTTTCAGAATCAATACAAAATAGTAAAGAACCAACACCAGACAAACAAAGTAGCAAGAAATCAATACCACAGTGATCATTCCATAATAAATCAAACTAAAGTTCTGTTTTCTTTAAAATTGCTGCCATTGGTATTTATCCCATTTGAGTTAAAATGTTGTGATCTTTGTTTGGCCATTCACATAAACAGGGGGATCAAGTTTTCACTGCAATGTTTGATTACATTTTTATGTTGAAGAGAAAGCTAAATAAATGTGTAACTGAGAAGTCTAATTCAATGCCAAAGCCAAACGTTAATTTTGCAATCATTTTTAAAAGCTGCATCCAAAGGGTTAAATCTTTGAGAGAAACTTAATTTTCTGGTTGTTGTTTTTTTAACAGCAGTACATTTCTCTGGTAATTTTTATTTATATTTCATTTTTTCAGCATCTACTTTTCAGAATAAAAATCCAATTCAGTCTTAGGCCATGATGCATGTAACATACATCTCAGTGAATTAAAAAATTTCTCGTGAAAAAGTCTGTACATATTTGCAAATTAAATGAAACGAATATCAAGTTAAAAAATAGCAAGTATCTCCTTTTTAAAAATCTTCAACAAACATTTACAACGTTGTAGTTTGGGAATCTTTACAAAAAGTCCACTACTAAGTACAGAACTTCCCATTTGAAAAATAAACAGGATAGAGTACAAGAAACAACAACCCCCAAAATACATAGAATTAACAGCTCTAGTTTGTATTTATCGTATACCTAAAAAATATTTAAATGTGCAGCATTTTCTCTTTCTCTCTCTGGAAATTTATCACGCGTCATCATCCTCATCGGCATCAGTTTTCTAACAATTTTGCAATTACACATTTCCTCTGTTCGGCTGTCATGTGCTCACAAGCCTCCAGAACATTTGCTATTATTAAAGTCTGTTGAATTGTTTTGGCTTTTACCCAGATTCTTCCATTCATTCCTAACACTAACTCAAAAGGATAAAGTTGTCCCAAATCCCACATGATTTCACAATCTGGAGCCAAGAGTCTGAAATTAAAACAATAGGGAGAGAGAGAAAAAAATCAATTCATGACATCAATCCAATCTCAATTATTTATATATTATTTTCCTTTGAAACCCTAGCCAAATATCCTTGTTAAGGGTCAAGACTGCTTTTAATTTCTCCTTTCTGGGAAAACAGAACTGTTATAAAATGAGGCCTAATGTCTGAAGACTGTTGTTCCATGTAAAGATATAAAACAACTTCTCTATAGCTTTTGGGTGCAAGTTTTCCCTTTGTGTGTGTGTGCGTGCAAGTTCAGAGTAGCAAAACTCTTGAAAATGCTGATGAGATCTGAGTACTGAAGAGAACTAGTGCTGCTGGGGAGTGAAATCCATTAAACATTTTGACAAAAAGGGAAAAGAAACCAGAAGTAAAAAAAAAAATCACGAATCTAAATTTACTGTACAACTCAAGACTCATTGAGCCCAAAGTTTATGTTGCTAAATGAGAGATTTGGTTTTTTACTATTATTAAGGTTTTATTTTATTATATAAAATACAAAGAAGAGGAGAAAAAAATAGGAAATAAAGGGAAGGGAGTGGGGAAAAGGGGGTGTGCAATACAAGGGAAAAAGAAAGGAGGCTTTTTAGCACTTTGAAGGGGAAAAGTGAAAAAAGTGTTTTTTCCCTTTTGTCAGTAAGGTCAAAGAATTTGAAAGAATACAATGAATTTTGTAAATAAAATTTTTGATAGTTCACAAAGATTACTGGGTGCAAATAGAAATACACATTATTTTCATAGCAAGGAAGATAAAGCAAGAATGGTTAAATTGATTCTTTTATTCAAAGAGGAAAGTGTGTGTTTATTTGGATATCACTTCTGGAATTTGTGCTTGTGAAGAAAAAAATGAAACTTTGACCTTGGTTTTGTTGATTAGAAAGATTTGGTGTTATAAGAATGGCTAGTTATATTAATGTGTAAAAGTAAAAGTTGAGGTTGAAGTGTGTTTATCTTGTACTGTGCTAAGAAGAGTTGGAAGTCAAGGCTAAGTGAGATATTTGTTAAGTGAGTTTTGCCCCATGTTACAACTTTCCCTCAATCATGGTCATCAATTGAGGACCTGTTAACTGCTTTTTTTAAAAAAGAAGCTTATACTACGAAACATGGGAAAGGCATAAATGACATAGTTCCAGAGTAAGAATTCCTTGACACCTACTTTCTTATCAGGCCTAGCGAGACCTTGAATAAAAAGCCATCCTGTCCTATGATTCCCATGCCATTCGCCCGGCCGCTGCTGTCTATGCAGACCATCTCGGGTTCCATATCTTTATTGGCCACGATGAACTGACCATAAATAAGGTCACCCACCTAAAGAAGGGAGAAAAGTAGCCATTTAACAGATTTACATTCTGCCTTTTTCACTACAAGCGCAAAGTGACACCCATTTCAGTTGTGTCCTCACCACACTGCACAGGATGATGGAGTGAGAAAAAGAGTTGGTGCAAAGTACCTAAAGTAGGCAAAAGAATGGTCCTGAACCTAGATCTCTCTGGTTCCAGATCAACAACTGAACTACTATCACACAGCAACAAAATTGCAGTCATTGAAGGATCATTTGGGATAGTTTGGCATGCCTCCCTTTGAGGAGAGTGATCCCCAAAGGTGCCCTTTCAAAAGCCAACTGGACCTTTTCTCTTGAAGACGTTTCGTTTTTAACCGAAGAAACTTCTTCAGTTCTTGGATGAGAAGCAAAACATCTTCAAGAGAAAAACCAAGGAAGTCCAATCACCTTTTGAAAAAGCACCTTTGGGACAACCGTGACCTGGATAACTGAGAAGCTCCATAGAAACTTTAAGGAAAGTGATCTTTTATGTGAGAACAGAAGCATCACAACTATACAAAAGAGTATTCACAGCATCTCCATGCAACTCAAGAAGGTTGTCAGAAAAATATTTTGCCCAGTACACCAATGGTGTTGGTATTGGTTCTCATTAAACAGGAAAAACAAGTTCATCTGTTGTAGAATGGACACATAGGTCAACTGATTTGTGAAATGTTGTCATATTATAGGTTGGTGTCCTCATCTAATGAATAATACCCCAAAGAAGTCAAAAGGAAAAGAGAAAAGAACCAGGGAGAGAAGCTAATGATTTTAACGGCAATACATAACTATGATTATACTTATATATTTAGCCTTCAGTAGAGTAATGATCTGCATTTCCACTTCGCGTTCTCATATAACCAGATGAACAATCTGCTTGCTATCTCATATGCCCTTGTGTTCCCCAAAGGTTTGCTTGCTCTTAAGATAATGTCTTTGAAATTCAAGTCATCCTGGTGACCCATAATAATGTGATGGCATTAGAGCCGACCCCACCGCAGCTTCTTAAAATAGCTACATCTTACTGCAAGGAATAAACCCATCCGCCTGTGTTTTTATCTGGATTAGTAGTACTGACTGAACATGTTGTTGTTTTTTTATTTATTTTTTTCATGTCCAGATCAAACCTTATGAGCCCTAGTGGTGCAGTGGTTAGAATGCAGTATTGCAGGCTACTTCTGCTGTCTGCCGACTGCTAGCAGTTCGAATCTTGCCAGGCTCAAGGTTGACTTAGCCTTCTATCCTTCCAAGGTCGGTAAAATGAGGCTGACTCTATAAACTGCTTAGAGAGGGCAATAAAGCACTGTGAAACAATATATACGTCTATGTGCTATTGCTATTGCTAAACTGCCAAAATGAAGCCACCTTTCTGGTTTTGTCATTGGCCAGAAAGAAATCACTTTCAGGGCAAACCACAAGATCAAACCAAGAAGCCAGATCAAACATGTTGACATTGAACACTAAACTCTAAAGTCACGGCTCAAACCCCACCCAGATCTGCTCAGAAACATCCCTGGGTACAATAGGATGATTTTCCTGCTCCTTGCAGTGCTTGAGAGGGTTCCTCACCTGCACATTCGGCCTGTTCCTTTTGGTGGCTCCTTCAAATGCCAAGTAAGAGAGAGAGGCATGTTCACTGCCTCCAACATCCAGTTTGAATATGTCCCCAGCTTTGGCTGTCACTATGCCGATCACATGATCTCCCTTCACTGGGACATACTGGCAAGAATAGGAAAAAAAATTTTTTTCTTTTGGACAGAAAACAAAGTAGTGGTGTCATGCAGACCTCCCCTCCCTGCAATCCACTAGGAATATAGTGTGTTTTTTTTCTTGCAAAGTGCCACTGTACATAAATACAGCATTCCTGGCCCAAATATTTATATTTATTATGTAACACAAACTATATATAATATAGTACTATGTAATAATATGAATGTGATGTGAGTATGCCACATATTATATATATTACAGATATTATGTTTATAAAAATATTATATATTATATAAATTTATATCATATATTATAAATATAAAAGTAAATTTTGTTATATATTTTATATAAATTAAATTTTATATAACCATATATAAATTATTTAATATTACTGCATTATATATCATACTTTAATATAATGAATTTAATTAATTCATTTACACTTTGCATATGCACCAAAGACAATTTCCTTTTTTGTCCAATCAACTTGGCCAATAAAGAATTATATCTATTCTATTAACATAAAATTACAGTGTATAATATTTTATTGTATCTTCTTCCGTTTTTTTTTTATAGCCATGCGCGCATTTGCAAATGCTGGGGCCAACAGCCGACTGTCTCCGAACTGCGCACGCGCAGCCTCCTTACCCGCTTCTGTTGTGAGTCCACCCAATAGGTTCCCCCGGAACTACTTCCGCTCCCACTTCCGGTCTGAGCGGAATGGCCACGGTAGCGAAGCAACCCGCATTTGGTAACTAGCAGGCCGTCGGCGCCGCGTCTCAACCCCGGCCCGCAAACCAGCCGCCCCTTCTGCGGCCCACTCGAATTCAGACGCAGCCGCTCGCCGTCCGCTTCGCCCTGGCTGGGCAAGATCAACGCTTCCCCCGGCATCACTACTTGCCCCACCCGCGTTTCGGCCAAGCAAGCTGCGGCGCCCGCCATAATGTCAGAAATTGGCCCTTCGAGTTGCCGCCTCGCGCCTGCGCAGAAGAAACATCTGCGTATGCGCAAATGAAGCCCTGCGTCGGACTGCAAAAATAAAATAAAATTCTAGAGCAGTGTTTCTCAACCTTGGCAACTTGAAGATGTCCGGACTTCAACTCCCAGAATTCCCCAGCCAGCGAATGCCAAGGTTGAGAAACACTGTTTCTCAAGTTGCCAAGGTTGAGAAACACTGTTCTAGAGTGATGCTGGGCTTGGCGTCCTCTTGCTTTTATCTGGTTGGAAAGATTAAGCCACCATCCAGAAAGGGGTGTTTATCCCTTCAAAGAGTGCAAATAGCATCAAACATCAGCAGATGTGGATTAAGATAATTTCTAAATTCAACTCTGGCCAGACAATTCCTTTTGTGCCTGACATTTGTGAGCTGGGTCATCTCTGAGAAAATAAGCACAGTAAAAGCATGGGAAAAAGAGACACAAGATAGCGTGTGAAAGGCAAACAATTAGCATCCCTAAATTTGTGCAAAGTAATCAGTTTCAATCCCATGCAGTTTTCTTGGAAAGAATTGTGACATTGGCACGCAACATCAACAGTAGCAAAGTTTGGAGACTTCCTCAAAGAGAGACTTATCAACTTCCAGCACTGTAATCCGAATAATAATGTTTGCTCAGGCTGTTTGGTGTCTGATCAATATTTTCAACATGTGGGGGAAATGTTTGGAATTTAATAAAACTTTGCAATAATTCACTTAACTTCACATCAATTCACTCTTGAGTGATTGGATTACATCCTTATCTGATTTTGAAAACAAAATATGGATTTCACCTTGATAATATCTGAAAGATGTGAGCTAAACTCTGAAAAAAAAGGGGGGGGGAATCCCTCAAGATACTAGCTGGATTTAAAAACAGGTTGAGGTTTCTACAGATTGGTTGTATCAACTTTGCACAACAAAAGAAGAAAGTGTTTACAAAACACCTCAGTTTATAAGTGTTACTTTCTCTTGAGCTGTACAATTATCAATTAGATACAAAATGAAATTGTGTCAAAGATGAATTCCTATTGGAAAAACAAGCTAATACCAACATATGAAACTGAAATATTATTTGGCTTGGGAGAGAAAAGGGCCAAAATCATACAAAGATCAGTTTTATACAATGTTGATTGACTAACGGACTCAAAGGAAGATGGACCAACTGCATCAAGTTATCCAGAACACTAAAAACTCCTAAAAACATCAGATAAAGCTTTTCTTACACTGAGTGAAACATACAGCAAGCCATTCTTACGTTTTCAACATTTGTAACCCTATCAATCAGCAAATCTACAAATAGTGATCAATCTTGGTGCTCATATACCATACTTGCCCTGGGACTTGCATCTTCCTACAAACATTTTGGAATTAAAAATATACACATTTTCCTTGGAAGTCTTCTCAAGAAAGTTGACATAGGATAAACAAGACCTATACTGATAACACTACACTTGATGATCCAGATCTGCAGTTTATGCCATCTTAACTATCGGTTTTAAAGCACTTTCTCTAATTTAGCAGATTAGAGCAAGAAGGTGAAATGATGAGCGAGTTCCTGGATTATTAAACTTTAGCGACCCCGTCTGGCTGATAGTGGCATACCAATATATGAAAAAATCATAAAATGTGGAATACTATTCCGAAGAAAGATATATCCTAAGATGAAGTTTGATTTTCTAAAGCAATATCAATGCTACTCAAGTTGATTTTTATTGACTTCAGTATATTATCTTCAGCTTTTGTATACAGCTATCCAGTTTCTCTATTCTTGCTTTTTTGTTTTCCAAGCAGTGTTTTCTCAAGGCTAGAGACAATTCCAAGTAATAAAACATTATAATGTTAAAATTGGAGAATGCAAACTGATCATTATTTTTATTTATTAAATTTTTACGCCATCCATCTCCCTTACAAGGTGATTCATGTTTTATGCTTCAACACCAACAATTATAATACTCACTTTCTGGAAGTTTCTTTCTGATTCTGGAAAACAGTCGAATAAAGCTATTTCTGCAATATGCTATATAAACCAGAAATGACCATCTTGTGAACTGCACCCAAACCTTTGCAAAAATATCATTAAAGGCTAAAATATATACAAATGTTATGAATATGAATGAATTACAAAGCTACTTAACTACACAACTGAACTATTTGTCACAGTGCAACCATCATCTGGGGAAATCTTCATGTGTTTTGTGTGAGGTCGAGTCACACAATATTTAATGACTCTCTTTAATTTTTATTTTAAAAAATGAACATTCCATGTTTCCTTAAACAGTGCATCGTCTGGATAAAAATATTTCTGTGCATTAACCGTCAAAATTTACATCATTCACATTGATATTAATTCTCTAATCGTAGAATTATAGTATATTAAACGGTTGAACATAGTGAACCTGTTCATTTTTTCCTCAACGTATCTACTGATAAAAATGTAATAATAACATTAAGCATAATCATCATCATGATACCAACATTTATATTGTTTATATCTCTATCTTAACCTATTTTCTACTCTTCTTTAATCACCTTTTATTTCCAACTTCAATTTTTATTTTCTAACCATTGATAAAATAATTCCTATATCATATAATACTCAGCTTGTTCTTTCTCTTTAATTGCCAGCGTTAATCTGTTCATTTCTGCACATTCTAATATTTTCCTAATCACCTCATCAGTAGGGATCTCTTCACTTTTCCAATGTTGTGCAAATATAATTCTAGCTATAATTAATACATGAATAATTAAATATGTGTTCTCTTTACTGTAAGTTTCAGGTTAAATCCCCAACAGAAATATTTCTGGTTTTAAATCAGGGTGCTGTTTTATCATCTTTTCCAACCATGTAGATATTTTTGTCCAATATTTTTTTGTTTCTACACATGTCTACCACATATGATAATAAGACTCATGTGTCTGGTGGCACTTCCTACATTTAGCTAACTTATCTTTAAACATCTTTGCCAACCTCGCCAGTGCAAAGTGTCATTTATACTATATCTTATACAGATTTTCTTTATATGCAGATGACATCATTAATTTGTATTTCCTATCCCAGAGTTTCTGCCATTTGTCTAATTCTGTTGTGTAACCAAAACTTTTTGCCCGTGCTAACATTGTCTCCTTCACTTGTTCATCTTTCAATTTTATGCCCAATAGGTAGCTATATAATTTCTTTATCAATCTTTCTTCTGTCCTTATTAATATCTTGTCTAATTCTGTTAATTCTTCAAGATTAATCTTTTATTACATTTTCATTTTCCTTTATACAATCACTTAAATACTGTGCAGTTAAAAAAAAGAAGCAATAAACAACTCATAATACTTCTATCCTACAT